CCCTTATCCCCCCCTCATGTTCCTTGCAGGTGAAAAGACAAACACAACGATAAGTTCGCATTATTTTGCGCATTCAATCGCATTGTTTTTTTTGTTGTTGTCGTAGACCGACGAGGGGCGTATCGTCCCCAGCTGGGTGAAGCCCTTTTACCCCGAGCGCTTGGAGAAGGTGAGCCTGTGGCACTTCCACGTCCGCGTCCTCACCAGGGTCATGCAGCGCCTCAAGGCGGGCCCGCTGGTCAAGCACCTGGTCGCCACCATGAAGGAGACGAGAGACGGTGCCAAGAAACCCCGCCTCTGGATCTACTCGGGCCACGACGACACCGTATCCGCCCTGGGGCTCGCCATCCGGACCTGGGGAGCAATGTACCCAGACTTCAACGCCATGCTTGTCCTGGAGCTGCTCAAAAAGGCCGACACCGGCGAGTACGCAGTACAGGTGGGTACCCGTCTGTCCGTAAGGCACTTGTAGGCGCCACCGGGCTTGCTCATACCTCTATGCTTGCCGTGCAGGTGCTCGTGCGAGAGAGCCACGCCGTGGACGCACACGTCGTGCCCGTTGAGGGTTGCGACGGCAACCCCTGCCCACTCGACAAGTTCCACGAGCTCGTCAAGGACGTCATCCCCCAGGACTGGAGGAAGGAGTGCCAAATAGGGTAGGTATTTCGGAGGCAGCGGTCAAGTCTAAAACATGCGGTGGTTACGGACGGATGGTGGTGGCGTTCAGCTAAAATGTTGTGTTTTGTGTTGGGTGGTGGAGGTGTCTTTTTATGTTGGCACTCTTCTAATATATTTTTGTGATACTACAGGGAAGAAAAGAAGAGAATACAGACCCATAAAAATGGAATATTGGTGGCGAACGGGACAGTTATGTCGAAGAACAAAATCTAGACCATTCATTTTACTTAATTTATTATTCGTAGAAGCACGTATATACTAACCCCATCAAACATCACCGTCATACTCATCACATCTAATCTCATGAATAAATTATTTAATCATCGACGACATTAGCACTAGAAGGTAGTTATTGTATTTTAAACTAATATATCGACATTTTAATTTTACTCCCCTTGTTTTATTTAATTTTGTCGTACAACGCCGAGTTAAGACTGTCCATGACCAGCTCCGGCATTAGGAATAAGGGTGCTGCATGCTGCACGGGTGTCCCGCTTTGTCCTTTAGGGTGGGAGCCGACCGGCCCTACAGATCGCATGACAATATTTGCTTTGCCCATGTCTGCAGGAGCGCTGCGGCTGTCTCCGCGGGTCATCCGTCCGCCCTCTTGCTCGCCGTCCTCGGTCTGCTGGCGCTGCCGTCCACCATATTGCGAGCTGCGCTCCGGTGACAGTACCACAAAAACGGCGCCGTTTTACGGGAGCTAAAAGTCACAACGCTGCAAGAGTTAAAAATAAACAGCGCGCAAGCGGCGTAGGTTCCAAAACCAGCCAAAGACGCCATCTATCTGCGGTCGCCAGCGCTCACATTCGCCAAAACTAAAAGGTTGCTGGCACTCCACGGACACGATCCCTAAAAGTACCGGTGACATCAAGAAATTCTTTGCAACTCCAGCCGAACTGCAGCTGCTCTGCTGCAGCCCGTGCGGGATAGCCGAGTCCTGCAGGGCGGCTGCAGTGCGCCAAGGAATGGCGTAGAAACTGCTTGTCTGCTCGATGAGCCCATCACAACACTGTAGGCGCATTCTCCAGCGAACAAACGAGGAACAAACAATAAAAATACAGTAGTACAGAGGGCATTGTGCATTGTGTTGTAGCGGAACTTATCAGTGAAATGTGAAAAAGAAAAAAGAAAGCACCATATTCTAAAAAGAAAAGCAGGTACTGCGAGGCTGTAATGTCAGTTGGGTTGCCTACGCGTCGGCTGCAGGCGCTGCGATGAGCTGTGGGCCACCCCGCCAAGCAGCTTTGTGATTGTGAAGAGGGCGGCCCGTCCAGGGCGCGTCGCGGCCGTGGCCTCGGGGTACGTCCATAGTGGGGTCATCTTTAGAAACCGTGCCCGTATCCTCCACCTCCATGCACTCAATTTTACATGACACACTTGCGCATGTATAATGAAGGTGGGTAGAGGGTAGAGAACAAAATTGCATTTTGAATTATGTACCCATCCTCTACCACCTCTTATCCCGTGTACGTAGTATGTTTTCTGCTGTTCCGAGAGTATCAGAGCGAAGATACCAGTGTTGCGGGCTCAGGCGTGGTTTTGTGCGGGCAATTCGTCCTACAAAAAAAAACCTGAAGGCAGGCAACCCACATTAAATCGCCCCCTTCGTGAGACGGACTTAAAACCGCGCCTGTGCGGCCTTGGTTTGGATACCCTCTTCGGGCGCGGGGGCCTGCGCTGTGCCACTCGCCGACACCCGAATCCGACATTGTCCGCAGCCGGGCGTTATCCCAGTTTGACTCATAGAAAGAAAACAATCTGCCTTTTTTTGCCGTACGACTCAAATCGTCTAGTGTTTTGGTGCCCAACCCAAGGGCGCTCTCATTGGGACAGGCCGCCAACGGTATAGCCTGAGCATTTAAAACTTTGTTGTAGCTCAGATAACTTTGGAATGTAAAAAGCCGACTCCCCCCCCCCCTCTTTCCGATCTCCCTCCTAAAATGCCCATATAATGGCCCTATCAAGACAGCAGCACCACCGCCCACAGATTCCGAGTTTGTATAAGGGTGTAAATTTTACAAGTTTAGTTGTTTCAATAAATATAATTTTATTTACAAATAAATTATTTGTGACTTTTACATTTGTACGAGAGTGCCATTGCACTCAATCAGACAAGATGTCGATAGCGATGGCACATATGCAAGCAGAGCAGTTCAATAATCTACAAACAAAAGTTAGTGCAATTATTATACAGTGTTGATCCCCGTACACGCTCTGGCCGAAAGTCTGGCGACGCGTCTTTTTCGCTGCGTGCACCCTCTGAGCACTCTCGCGACACCATTACGAAAGTGCTGCGATTGCAAAGCGCCGCCGAGCCGCACTCCGTGGCGAGTATGCACGCAGAAATGTCTGAGCACCCTCTCACAAACTATCCCCAGGGACGCTCTCAGTTAATAACGGTTCGCGGCTGATTGAACGGCGAGTTGACCTAGTTGACTTGGTCCTCTAGCCGCCGAACAGGGCGCACTGCGCGTCCCGAGGTTCCTGGAGACCCCTCCACAGGTGACGCTTTCTCCTGCTCCCGGAGGGCCTCGCCTTCGGGACGGCGACCGTCAGCGGCAGCGGGTTCGGCAGAGGCTCCGGCCTCGCCGTCGTGGACGTTAGTAGCATGGCTATGACGGGGCCCTGGTTGATCGGACGCCCAGGGGCCGCGGTGCTGCTGGGGGCGCCTCCCTGCGGCGGCTGGAGCTCGCCGTCGTTGGTGGCGTTCTGAAAGGGCCTCGCCGCCGTCGTCGGTCTAAACTTCTTATGCACGGGCTTCTCCTCCGGGTTGGGCTCGGCGGGCCAGTACGGGTTGTGCGTGTGCGGGACTTCGGGAGCCGCCGCCCCGGGCACCGACACGTGGCCGTCGTCGTGGTGATGGCGGTGGTCGCGGTGTCGGGCGGGCGCCGCCGTGCTGCTGGACATGTAGGGGTCGCGCGGCCACAGCGGTGCGGGTGCGCGCGGCTCGACGTGGCGCGGGGTGGTGGTGCTTGGCGTGTCCGTCGGCGTGGTGTCTCTCTTGCTGACGGCGTGCCCGCGGGCTTCCTCCATGATCCTCTGGAACTCGTCCAGGGTGGGCAGGCCCGACGTGCCGGGCGCGGTGTAAGGACTGGGCGGGAGAGTGCCGTCGGGCAGCGGCGTCAGGTACGAGTCGGGCTTGCGGTACCTGGGGAGTCCGGCCTTCCACTTCTGGAAGTCAACCTCCCGCTGATTCTCCAGGTCGCCGTTGGGGAGGTCGTCCACGATGCGTGGTGCAGTAATCGCCGGGTTGGGCGGTCCAAGGACGATGGGGCCGTCGGGTACTGGAGGAGCCGGGTCCTGGTCCGTCACGAGCTTCTGGGCGATCTGCTGCGCAACGATGGCCTCCTGCGCGGCGCGCTGCTGCTGGGCGATGGCGTCCTGCAGGGCGGCGCGCTGTTCGGCGCGCTGCTGAGCCGCCTTCTCCTCGCGCTCTGCCCTCTGCTGCTCGGCGAGCAGCGCGGCTGCCGCCTCCTTGACGGCGGCCTCCTGCGCCGCCATCGCCTCCTGCGCCGCCCGCTGCTGCGCCTCCATGCGCTCGGCCTCCTCGCGCGCCGCCCGCTCCTGAGCCGCGGCCAGCTCCACGGCGCGCTGCTTGGCCACCATCACCTCCTGGATCGCGCGCTGCTGCGCTGCCAATAACTCGGCCCCCTGGCGCTCGGCGCGCTCCTGGGCGGCCAGCAGGACTGCAGCGCGGCGCTGCGTCTCCTGCGCCTCCTGGAGCGCCCGCTGCTTGGCCGCCTCCTCCTGCTGCGCCGCCCGCTGCTGCGCGGCCATCAGCTCGGCCGCCCTCCTCTGAGCGGCCACGGCCTCCTGCGCCGCCCTCTCCTGGGCGACGGCCGCCTCAAAGGCCGCCCACGCCTGAAAGTCCACCTCCGTCTGCTCTGGAGAAGCGGCGCGGCCGTGCCCGTACTCGTACCAAGAGTTCGCTCTGGGATCGGCCTGGACAGCGTGATGGGCTGGGGTGAGGACGGCCGGCCACACTGCTGGATTTGCCCCTGGGTGGACGGGTGCCACCGCTGGAGCTGGAGAAGACACAGGACGGACTGGCACTTGAACAACCGACGGAGGTGGAGAAGCGATCGGCTGGGCCGGTGCTTGAACGAAATGTGGAGCTGGAGAAGCGGGCTGGGCTGCCACGTGGATCACCACTGGAGCTGGAGAGGCACTCTGCAAGGTGTGCATCGGGACCACGGCTGGAGCTGGGGAAGCGGGCTGGGCTGCCACGTGGATCATCACTGGAGCTGGAGAGGCACTCGGCAAGGCGTGCATCGGGACCACGGTTGGAGCTGGAGAAGCGATAGGCTGGGTTGGCACTTGGAGAACCGCGGGAGCTGGAGACGCGATGGGCTGGACCGGCTCGTGCATCACCCCTGGAGCAGGAGAGGCACTGGGCTGGACGTTCACGTGGGCTATCGCTGGAGCTGTACTAGTTTCCAATGGCTCCTGTGATGACGGTGTACTGCTGGATTGATCCTGTGAAAGTAAGTCAATATTTTAGAAATGTTCCCGGCAAGACAGTTGGGACGTAATTGTGTGGTGTCCGTAAAAAAAAGTACCTGATCCCTTGCGTGAGATTCCTTGTCTGAGATCGTCGGGAAGATCGTCGAGGCCGTGCTCACGGGGTTGGGTGGCGGCGCTACTGGGCTCAGTTCCAGCGGTGAAGGGGTAGTGGACGTCGCCTCCGCGGTAGTGCTCCCCTGAGTGGAGGAGGAGGAAGTCTCTGCATGTAGGGTAGGGGTCGTGGAGGTATACTCTTCCATGGACGGGCTTGTCACCAGAGTCGAGGGTTGAGACGTGACAGAGTCTTTCGGAAGGATGTCTCCCTTTGGTACGTCCTTTTCCAAACCACTGACGCCCACGTCGTCCTCGTTGGTTTTCAAGGTCTCGTTTTCAGTAGACTTGTCACTCTTGGTCTTCTTGGCGGCCTCGCTTGTCTCGTTGGGGTTGTCGCCTGTCTGGGACGCCTTGTCACTGGCCTCGGGGTTGATCTGCTCCTTCGCCTCCTTGTCGCTGGCCTTTGAAGACTTGTCCTCGACGTTCTCGCCCTCTTTGGCGGCGGACCTTCCTGTGCCCACTTTGCCGCTCAACGGGTCCCCGTGGATTTCAATTTGCACTGGTGGCAGTCCTTTGAGCCTGAACGAAACGGACAAAATCGTTATTCTCCTGGCAAACAAGGGGAAATAACTAGAAAAATAAAGAACGCTGCCGTTATTGCGTTTCCACAAACCTGCGCTCCCTGTTGTCTTTCATCATCTTCCGCACCTTCTCCACCCTCTCCTTCACCTTCTGTCTCCTCTCCTCGAGCGTGAGGGGCTTCTGCACGGTGGGTGTCTTGAGCAGCTCCTTCTTCTTGAGCTCGCGGTACAGCCTGCTCGCGGTGGCCAGACTCCGGCCGTCGCGGTCCGCCATATCAATGCCCCTGCAAGTCAGAGAGGGAGAAAATGCGGACGTCAGCGGCTTCCCACGGACGGGCACCGCGCCCCGGGGGGGACGGCGGCGCATAGAATGCACGATGTAGGCAGAATGCTTACATGTCGCCTCCGTCGGCGATCAGCTTGAGCAGCTCGGGGTCGATGTCGTCCGTCAGAGCGTTGGGCTGCCCCTCCCTCAGAGCGTCGTCCCTGCCGACACACAAGTCGCACCAAATAGAAACCCGGGGTCCCGAGAGCGGGCAGTGTGAAAAAAGTGTGCCTCCGTCAGCCTGCGGGAGCCGGGGTAGGCAACGGGACGACACGGGCGCACGCCGGGACTGCCTACCCGCACGGCGCTCGCTCTCCAGGAGGGGGGACTCACCCGAGGCAGAGGGCCGCGATGGCGGCGAGCAGCAGCAGGGCGGTGCTCGTCATCTTGTGGCCCTGGGACCGCTTGGGCTGGTGCTGCTTGTGGGGGTGCGGAGGTCTGGGCTGGGGCTGGGGCTGGGGCCCCGGCTGCGGGGTCAGTGGCAGCGGCCGACGCCTGCTGCAGCCTGCGGCGGGTGAGTGGTGGGGCGCGGGTGCGACAACCACCTGCAACAGAGCACAACCGCGACTGAAGTGGCATCTCTCGACGGTCCGCTCGGCTGGTGCGGTGGGGCGGGGCGGCGCGCGGTGGGGCGCAGCGATGCGGGGCGGGGCTAGACGAGCGCAATGGAGGCTTGTTGCGAAACAACTGGGTTGGAAAGCTTTGCGGGCGTAGGGATCTGTCTGTTAGTTTTCAAGACGCTAACTCCGAGGGGGAAAGGACTATTAAACTTTGTGTCAGCCGGATTACGGATTACCCGGACGAACTCTGGAGTACCCTCCGGATTATGTTGCCTTTTCTCGAGGATTACACTCTAAATGTAAAAGAACAATTTTGTCCATAGAAATGGAACTGATTCGTGCACATCCAGAAAGGATGCAATTTTGTTCCTTAAATTGGACAAAATTGTGTAAAGCCTCACACAATTTGTCTAGAGTGTACCCCGGATTTTTTCGAATTTCCTCGGATTTCACCTGCCGGATTACCTTAGTCGTTTTCGCCTCGGCCAACTCCCTCGCCACAACGACACATCGCGGACTAAATATTTATCATATCAGCAAAGCCTTAAACTAGTTCGATTTTAAAATTTTGAGCGCTCCCTACGTTACAATAAACAAAGGGTTTCTGAAATAGCCTCTGGAGTTATAAGTAACCTACATTTCATTTCTGCATACCAGACCGCTTTGGGACCCACGATGAAAAAAGACAACACACGAAAAAGAGCACTCATCGGCACGCTCAGCAGTCCACGCGCCGCCCCTCGCCACCTCCCCGCTCCGTGCTCTCTACAAGGGAAGTGCTCGTCGGCGGCCCAACGCTGCACCGCGGCGCGGAAGTACGGCCCGAGAAACACGACCTACCCCACCCGGGCCGTCAAGCTTGGGCTTGGGGCTCGGCTGCGGGCTACGGATGCCACCTCGACAGATGCATGGTGGCTTTGGGCTTACGCTTTCGTATAGTTACTGCCCTACAAGTTCGGGACTCGCATGTGGCAGGATGTGTCCGATGGGGGTGCACCCAGAGAATCGTTTCTTTGAATCAACAGAGCCTGCTTTAAAACAAAGAAATTCTTTACTCAGTATCGATTTAAAGAAATGTTTTTGAATCTAAGCAGCCTCTTTTTATCCAAAGAGGGCCTTCTTTGATTTAAAGATGTTTGTTCAATGTAAGGAAACAATCTCTTTATTTCAAAGAAATATATCTTTGATTCAAAGAAAAAACAGCTAAATTGAATTTTCTTGCAGTTGAGATCGCTGCTTCAAATCTATATCTAAGAAACGATTCTTTGGATTGAAATAGAATTTTCTTCTTTTCTTTGATTCAAAGAAATAAATTTGATTCAAGTAAACCCTTTCTTTAATTTCAAAAAGGCTGCTTTGATTCAAAGCAGTTTCTTTAAATTAAAGAAATGCCTCAAATTAAAAACTTATTTCAAATCAACGAAACGATTCTCTGGGTGTGACTTTAGAACAAGGGAAGCCACACGACTGCTTTACTTACGTAGATTTTGAGGAGGTGGTGCCCGCTCGGGGCCGCCACCAGGATGTCCTCGCACAGGACGGCCATGGCGTCGTTCTGGAGGAGCGGTGTCGGGCGGCTGGGCTGCCGAGGGAGGCAGGCAGGGCGCTCCCTCCGCGTCCGCGGTGCAGTTGCACGACGGGGTTTGGTCTTCGCCTTCGATCGAACACTAGAGTCTGGCTCGCTGCTGTAGCGGGCATGCGTTCCACACACTCGTTCATGAGCTGGTCCCGCGGTCGACGAGGACGAGGGGCGGATCCTCACGAACGTCTCGCTTTGCACCGAGCGATAACAGCGGAAGGCTCACGGCGGGGGGTAAGTTTCGAGAGAGAGGCGATCAGCGAGAGGCGATCAGCTGGGGATGCGACAGTCTCGAAGGCTGGAAGCGCAGTGGCGTCTCGCGGCGACCGCACCGCGCTAAGTAATGCACCGCGTGACGTGGACTGGAAGTGAAAAATGAGTAAGACTGCTTGCCGGTGCGAGGGGCCGGGCCCCACGCTGAGGGGGCCCGAGGGGCACGGCCGGCGCGCGTGACACTCGCGCGCGCCTGCTCTGGCTGGAGACGCTTTCGCACGCGGCACTTCCCCTCGGCGCTGCCGCTGGCGCCGCCTCCACCAGCCCCTGACTCACCCCCCGCGGGGCCGGGCCGCATCCGAGGCGCCTCGCCGAGCCTCTCTCTCTCTCTCTCGCTCTCGCGGTCGCAGTACAGGTCCACACGGGACGAGCGAGTCACGCGTCCACGCTCGCGCCGAGCGGGGCGCCGAGCAGCGGCACGCTTGGGGGGGTGGGGGCGCCACGTGAGGGGAGCTCGCGCGCTCTGTCAGACCCGCGGCGGACCCGGCGGAGAGCGACGAGGACGGCGAGATCAACACGACGCCTGGGACGACACGTGACGCGTCTCGACGAAACTCGAACCGAAAAATATTGGCTAGGGTCAGTGAAATGGCGTTGGTTGGGCAACACATCAACACGCTAAGTCGTGGAGATAGGTCGGTAAACACAGAACCCCTTCCCTTCTCGGGGCGCTAGCCGTCCTTGTAAACATTTGGATGGCGGCTGCTTGGTTTGATATCATTAGAAACCAATCCTCTGGAAAGTATTATTTTTGCAAATTACGTTTAACCTCAACTCGCACACAAAAAAAGTAGACGGTCACTGGAGACTACTTCCGGACACATCGCGAGAGGGAGTGTGGTTCTCCCCTGAAACTCTGGTCCATGCAATTTCTTGAAAACAGTCTGTAGCTGTATTTAGTTAGAAAAGCTAAAGCCGAGAGCTAAACGCGAGAGCTAAAGCGAAAGCCCGTGAGCGAAGAATCGGTCCTGTCTCGGGACGTCGGGCCTCGCTCGGGTCGTGTTGCGGGCTCCCGAACCCACCACCACCGGACCGATTCTTCGCTCTCGGCTTTCGCTTTAGCTCTCACGTTTAGCTCTCAGCTTTAGATCTCCTAACTAAATACAGCCTGTATCGGCTTCAAATATTCCCTTGGGCACTTCTGATTTTCATTGTGATTCACTGCATCGTTCCTGAAATAGAGCCAGTCGCGAGGCTGAGCTGTCCCCCTATGAGAATGCAACATCTACACATTCGGGTTTTTTCTCCGCGAGGGAAGCACGACATCAAACCGCCCGAAAGCATTGACTCAGCAGCCCCCCGAGTAAACAGGTTGCCACCCATCTACCTCGGTATTGCGTCTGACTGTGTTTTCACATTTCGGTAGTCATTTGCTTCTCTGGAAACACATGGGAACTTATGACTCGTTCTCTTCTATTGGGGGTAAATCGCTATTTGAAACATGGCGGGTAAACAAGTTTGCAAAGCAAACTTCGCCGTTTCGGCATGCTCTGGCATTGTACTTTAGTGTGTAACCAAACATAATGGAGGTTAGGGGAAATGGATTGTGACTGCACAGTGTGAGGGTAGCCATTTTGCCCTGTTGGAGCGAATGGGTATACTAGCCCGGATCCAGGAGTGCGGCCGGGTTGCCTATTCGCGCGGCGCCCTAGGGAGCTACGGCAAGGTTCGATAGGCAAACCCAGTCGAGCGACTGCATGCGAGCTAGAATACCCATCCGCTCCAACGGGGCGAAACGGTCACCCTTGTTTGGAACCTGGTTCCAGAACAAAAATTTTAAGTGCCACGGCCGAGGCCGCGCCCGTGATAGCCCCGGAAACATAATCTAAACGTGTATGATCAATTTCGCATGACTTTGACCAACGTTATTTTGCCAGTGGTTTATACGAGAGAATACTAATGTGAACGTCCCGAAATGTCGACCAAGAGGCGAATGTTAGTAAATAACTTGTGTTGTCCCTCTCCACATCCGACTTTTTGCCCTCTTTCAGTCGGAAGTTCATGAGGCCTTGTAAATATTGACGATTTCTGTTCTGTGTATTGAACAAGAAAAAATTACTACTTTTGTTTTATTGATCTCTGGTTTTTAAGCGTTATACTGAGAGAACTTTGTACGATTTGAACTGATATGACAGTGACCGGAAAGGGTATCTTAAGGTTGCAACAGTATTGCCGGCATGGTAAACATTTTATTATAAACAAAAACGACACAAACACATAAAGAGGAAAACACACATTTCCAATAATAAATAAATGTAGCTATGAACAGAAGCTTGCTTGATGCTCTTATAAGCCAAAAGCTTCACTAATAATTTTGTACTAGATGACGGGTTTTCTCTCGCGAGACGGTGCTCTACGCGGGCTTCCTGCCCTGCGTCAGCCTGTCCAGGTAGCCGACGACGACGCCCACTTTGCTCAGCAGGGAGGCAATGAGGCCAGAGAAGAAGCTCCTGTCATCGGTGGCGCTCTGGACGTTGTTCTGGCGCTGCTTGCGCTCCTGGCGCTCCTGGCGCTCCTGCTTCTTCCGGCGCATGCGCTCCGTCTCGGCGCTCCACTCGTCGTCGCTCAGGTCATCGGGGGCCGGGGCGACCTGCAACAGAAGGGTAGAGTAAGCACGGGCCCCGAGCCCCGGCGTGGTGCGGGAGACCGGGAAGACATTACCGCTCAGGCCGCAGGCGCCGCGTCGCCACCGCGCACGTATAGCCTCCAGGGCAGCATCTCGAGGACGTTGACGGCCTTGTTGCCGTCAGAGGCCTTGGACGTCAGGAAGGCCAGCTTGTCCATCACGGCCTGGGCCTCCGCCTTGTCGACGGGCTTGCTGCCGCCCACCTCCTCCACCATGCTGCTCGAGCCCGCCGCCTCCACCCCTTTGTCGGCGGCTGTGGCGGTGGCGGGGCGGTCCTGGGCCGGGAGGTTCCGCTCGAGCATTACCTTTTTGTCGTGGGAGAGCATGTCGAAGAACCCTCGCCTGTCGCGACGGTGCTCGGTCGCGGCTGCGGGGGCAGGCCCGGCAGGCCCCACCACCGAGCGCTTCCGACGGGAGCCGGCCGACATCCAGGCTGGCTCTGGGACACGCGGCGCCGAGCTCGCACTGAGGGTCCGTCTGACCGGGACCACGGCTTCTCCGCCGGCGGGGGCGAGGGAGGCGACCTGGACCGCGGCCGCCCGGGGCTGATCGTTGCCCGGCTGGCGCCTGAGGATGTGGGTGTTGTAGTCCAGAAGCTGCTCTCCCGCAGGCTGTTCCAAGGAGGCCACGTGGCTGCCCCGACGAGATGCGGGCGCTGCAGGCCGCCACTGACGTGTGGCAGGGGCGGATGGAGCCGACTGGCCCCACAGGTTGTCGGCGGGGGCTGCTGCAGGTTGACCCCAGAGGTCATCGGAGCGAGCAACAGCGGCTGTACCCCACAGGTTTCCTGCGCTGGCTGTGGCAGGTCTTCGTACCGGTGCTGCTGCAGGTCGACCCCAAAGGTCATCTGTGGGGGCAGCAGCAGGTTGACCCCACAGGTCATCTGAGGGAGCGGCAGCAGGTTGGCCCCACAAGTTGTCTGACGGGGCAGGCGCAGGTTGACGTGCGGATGCTGCTGCAGGTTGACCCCAAAGATCATCTGAGGGACCGGCAGAAGATTGGCCCCACAAGTTGTCTGTAGGGGTGGAGGCAGGTCGACGTGCGGGTGCTGCGGCAGGTTGACCCCAAAGGTTACCTGCGGCAGCAGGTTGGCCCCACAAGTTGTCTGAAGGTGTTGCCGCAGGTTTGCGTGCCAGGGCAGTGGCAGGTTTGCCCCAGAGGTCGTCGGTGGGTGCAGCAAGGGGTTGATCCCAGAGGGTGGTGGCAGCAGCAGCAGGCTGTTGCCAAGCACTTCTCTGCGCTGACTCGGGTCGGCCCCGGTTGTAGGAAACTTGTTCAAACCTAGGTGCCTGGTCCTGAACAGGTCGGAAGTACTTGGCCAAGTAAGACAATGCACGCGGTGCATTCGCCTGCTGAGAGGCAGCCTTGCGGTTTGCGTTGGGTTGTCGCACGTTCTGTGCGGCTGGCTCCAGGACTAGCTCTGGGGCTGGCTGAAGAGCTAGCTCTGGGGCTGGTTGTTGCACTGGTCTTGGATATGGCTGTGGGGCTGGCTGGGCTAGCTGAGAGGCTTGCTGTAGAACTGGTTGCAGAACTGGCTGCAGAGCTGGCTGTTGCACCGGTAGTGAGACTCTCTGGATCGGTGGCTGGGGCGCTGGCTGGAGAACGGGGACCGCGTAGCCCGCCACCTCTTCTGGCTGTTGGGAGACAACCTCGGACTCAGTCGGGGCTGTTTGTACGAATGACACAAAATCTCCTTGCTGTTGATTTTGGGCCTGTTCTTGGGGTTGTTCTTGGAGTTGGTCTTGCGGCTGTTCTTCCTGCTGTGCTTCTGGCTGTTCTTCTGGCTGTTCTTCCGGCTGTTCTTCCGGCTGTTCTTGTATTTCGGCGACTGCTGGGGACTTGGGCGGTGGTGCCATCTTTACAACTTGTGTGGCGTATGGCGTGACTGCAGGCTGTGATTGCGATGTGACAATGTTATAGGAGGCCTTCCTCACTGTCGAGCTGCCGGCCTCGGGGTGTACGGCGGACCCACTTCGGTAAGGGGTCGGCCTTGGCTGCGGTCGCCTCTCTAGGTGCACCAAGGCCTGCGGTTTTGGGGCTTGATGGCTTCGCGAGGGAGTCACTAGTTTGACTACATGTGGCTTTGGACGTTGGGCAGACGAGACCCTAGTTGAGGATGAGTATTTCCTGGAGGATGTGTGGACTTCCATGGTAGGGTAGTTCGCGTGCGCGGTTTCCTCCTCGGACGACGCGTTGTCCTCGTCTTCCGTTTCTGGTGTCTGGTAGCGAGAGGTGGAGGCGAATGTGTACCACCCGCCGGGGGAGGAGTCGTCTGCTTTAAAGCCCACCACTTGATGCTTCGGTCCATGGGGCTCCTTGAACGGGAACACGGGCATGGGACCAGCCTCTCCTTCAGCCTCAGGGGGGAGCATCGAGGGTTGTTTGGCTTCATTCTCACACTCCTCCGAGGCCGATGTTGCTTCGTCTGCTTCGTCTGATTTTTCGACTGGAGTAACCTGTTCCACATCGTCCTCACTGTATTGGACGTGGTGATGGTGGTGATGGTGCGCGCGACTAGGGATTTCGAGGGGGGCATAGTACGGGCTAGTTGGCTCCTCCTCTGCGGCCCCGTAGCCACCCTCCTCCGCGCTGCTGTCGTTTTCGGAGGGCTCGGTGGTCTCGTAAGTCCGTTCCGTCTTCAGAATTTTAGTCGTCTTGACCTCAGTTGGAGGCTCGTCCCGATCGTCGCGCTGTTCCGGCGATTCATCCTCTTCCACAGGCAGAAACGTGGGCTTGGGGACGACGTCGACCTCGACCGGCACCTCGACGTGGACCCTCTGGGTGGTGTGGAGGGGCGACAACGGACTGCCCTCCCAGAGCACGGCGACGTTGTCCTGCGGCTTGTACTGCTGCTGCCAGCGCCCACCCTTCCTCCTCGGCAGCTCGTTGCGGCCCGCGTCGACGGTGGTCTTCCCCGCGCCCCCGTAGCGCAGCACGTCCGTCTTCTTGACGACCTCGTGCCGCACGCCGACGCGCTGCGGGGAGTGGCCGTACTTGTAGCGGGGGACGGCGCCGCTGCGCCCCGCAGTGTCCACGTGGAGGTGGTGCGTGTGGTGCTGCGGGGCCGGGGCCGGCGTGACCCGGCGCCAGTGGCCGCTGGGGTGAGAGTACTGCTCCTGCCGGCCAAACGAGTCCAGGTATCTGTTTGCCGCCTCGGAGCGCTTCACCCGCTCGGTCCTGCGGGTGAAGCCGGAGGGGAGTGCGAGTGCGGGTCTAGGGGCGAGCGGCCTGCCGCGGTCCTCGCGCAGCCGTTCTCGTTGCTGTCCGAGCGCCTCCCTCGCCTTGGCCACCCGCTCCTTCTCGGCCTGCTCGCGCTCCTCCCGCTGCCGCTCGCGCTGCTCCCGCTGCTGCTCCCGCTGCTGCTCCAGCTGCTCCCGGGCCTTGCTCAACCTCTCTTCCCTGTCGGGCTGCTCCCTCGTCGCCGTCGAGTCCCTCGCCTTCTCCAGTCGCTCCCTGCGGTCACGCACCCTCTTCTCCAGCTCTTCGCGCAGGCCAGCCGGCAGCTGCGGACGCGTGAGCTCCTCGCCGACGCTCCTCAGGGGGGTTCTGGGGAACGGCTTGGGGCTGGCGCCCGTGGGGAGGGTGGTCCTCAGCTGGCGCCGACGCCGCGCGTGGTGCTGCATGGTGGCCATGTCCACTTCCTCCTCCATGGGGGCGCTCGGCCCGACCTGGCCCTTCTCGCAGTCCAGCGGGTCAAGTTCGTTGTGCTTCAAGGTCATCTTCTTCTCACGGAGGTACCTTTTTCCGAGCTCGATGAGGACGTCCGTGTTGATTTCTTGATCCGGGTCGACCTCGACGGGTGGCAGCGTGTCAAAGTCCCCTGTACAAAAATCACACATTAATAAGACTGTCAGCATATTATTTTATAGGAGGTAACTCGTCAAGCACTCCAATTTAATTAAAGAAACTACGTGCTAAAGCTGCGGACGCGTAAGGGATCATCCAGAAAGTACGTTTGTTTTAATTCATTCGTAAAATAACGGGAGCATGGCGCCTACAAGACTCATGGTAGGCCAGCCCGCACTACACGCATGCACTGTATGCAAGATTTTGCCTATCTACCAGGCGCCAAGAGAGCTTGCAGAAGCTGAACGTGACAGGCTCGTGATGGGTGTACTTTCTGGACGATTTCTTAGGTGCATCAGAGAACGCATGGAAGACATACCTTCGGGTCGGGACTCGGGATCCGCGGTGTCCTGGTAGTAGCTCTCGAGATGCTGCTGTTGCTGCTCGTGATGGGGGTGATGCTCCTCGTGTAGGTGGTGCTGCTCTAGGGTCTGCTCCGGGGTTTGTACCATCGCAGGCTGGTAGAAGCCATCGGCGTGCTGCTGGGTTTGCTGCTGCTGCTCCTGGTGAAGATGATGCTGCTCGTGCAGATGGTTCTGCTCTGGGGCCTGCGCTGGGGCCTGCACTTGTACACCCTGGTAGAAGCTGTCGGAATGCTGGTGGGTCTGCTGCTCCTGGTGAAGGTGATGCTCCTCCTGGTGCAGATGGTGTTGCTCTGGGGCCTGGGGCGGGGCCTGCATCGCCACGCCCTGGTAGAAGCTGTCGGCGTCCTGCCGCGCCTGCTGGTGCTGCTCGGCGGTCAGCGCGGGGCTCTGCATCACGACGTACTCCTCCAAGTGCGGCTCCCAGGGCGGCGGGGTGGTCGCGCGCACCACGCTCAGCGGCTCCGCGATCGTGTCCATCTCCCCGATCTCTCCGGCCGCGGACGGCGCAGCCCTGGGCACGGCTCTGTACTGCTGCATGAACTCGCCGGGCGCGAAGTAGTACGGGGTCTGCTCGTTCACGTCCTTGTTGTCGAAGGGGTTGACCTCGGGCTGTGGCTGAGGAACTGGTGTCTTGTTGCCCTGCTCTTGACCGCCCTTCTCCAGATCCTCCTCATCCTGTGCGTCGTCGTCCACGTATTCGTAGTCGCCGTGCGCCTCTCCGGGACCACCTGACAAGTCGTCGCCTTCCTCGCCCGACTCTCCCACCTCGGCCACGACGTCGCCGGTCGGGAAGGGGTCTGCGGTCACCTGCTCCTCCGCCTCGGACACGTCCTCGGCGCTCACGCCCTTCTCCGGGTCGACAAGCGACGCGACGGCCAGCCCCTTGGGCAGCGGCTTGCGGCGCGCCAGTGCGGGCGCGGGAGGGGCGGGCCGCTTGGGCAGGCGCGGCGCCGCGGGCAGCGGCATCCTCTTGGGCAGCTTGAACGGCTTGATCGGCGCCATCGGCCTGTGGTGTTTGTGCGGCATGTGCGGGCTGTGCGGCGCCGGCTCCTTGTCGTCGGCCGTTTCATCCGGTCGGTATATCGCGGCCACGGGTATGGTCGAGGGGTTGTCTTCCAGTTCGTCGGGGACCTTTGCCTTGGCTGCGTGGGCGCCCGGCAAGGGCAGCTGGTGTTTCCGTTTGAAGGCCGGGACCTTCGACAGGCGCTCGAGCCACTCCTCGGGCGTGGCGAGAGGGGAGGCGCGTGGGGGGTAGTGGGGCATGGCCGACACAGCGGTGGCCCTTTTAGTCCTCGGCTCGTCCATGTCAGCGTACTGCTCCAGGGAGGAGGGGGATGACCACACGAAGGGCTGCGCGTCGGATTCGTGGAGGACATTCTGACGGTGGTCGACGTCCTGGTCCTTGAGAGTGGCGGCAAGCTTGTCCTTGGTCTTGCTCTTGGAAAGGCCCTCGACGTGGAACTGCACCTGGACGTCCTCGGGCCGGCGGGGACTGAGCTGCAGCGGGATGACAGAGGCCTCCGCCTCCGCGGCGCTGGCCGGAGCGGTCTGGCAGGCTCGCGACTGCGCCCCGGGGAACACGAAGAAGGCCACGGAGTGCGCGGGCAGCACCAGGGTCGTCTCGCGGTCCCCGCCGCTGTGCCGCACGCGCGGGGTGAGCCCGGGCAGGCCGCCGCCGTTGTCCACGCTGAGCACATGGCCGTTGAGCAGGGCAGATCTGCAAAACAAACATCGCTGGGTTACACGCAGCGAAGCGGTTGTTCCTATCATCGCCCCCCACCAGGAGTGAGGTGGGCTGCCTACGACTGGGCGGCATGAGGGCTTATCTGCAGGACAGAGTTGTCAGTTTGGGAGAAGGCGCCCGCGAGGTAGGTAACCACTTTGACTGCAGGTCCTACCGGCAAGAGAGACAGCAGGCACAATCGATTTTCTTAACAGGCCGTGGCCTTGCTAGGCTGGGGCCTTTAGAAAGTCGATATACTACCGCTTTCTCTTTCCCGCCCGTCTCAAGTGAAAATGCCAGGTGGCGCCAGGAAGAGATAAAGCGGTGAGCTGGTCCCGGGGTCGAGAGGACCGCGTCAAGTGACCCAGTAGTCTCACCTCGAGCCCAGGTCGTGGCCCGGAGCGGTGAGGATGTACTCGTGCAGGGTGGTCTGGTGAAGGCCGGCCGCGGGGCTGAACTTGACAACCACCTTGGCCTCGACGGGCCCGCTGTTGACGGCGAACATGGTGACATCGCCGCGCTCGTAGCTGAGCTTGGTGAAGCCGCCGGTGGCGGAGATGCGGGGGTTGGGGCGGGCGCGGCCAGCCGGGGCCGCGGCGGTGCAGCGCGCCGTCACGGAGGCCGCGGACCGGTTGCCCGCGAGGCGCGAGTCGAGCACGGCGCGCCCGCACAGCCGCTTGTGCAGCAGCGAGACCCAGAAGTCGGGCGTGGGCTGGTGGTCCTCGCCGGGGCTGCGCCAGCGCCGGAAGATGACGTCGGCTCCCACCCGCTCAGCCACCTGCACGCGGCGGGCCCACTGCAGCGCGCCGCCGAAGTTCCTCGGGGGTGCGTCATCGGACTCGGCTGCGGGTGAGAAAGACGGGCATCGTCAAAGAGCGCTGCTGGAAGCTGTTGCGGAGGTGGAGCACACCCAGCAGACTGCTGCTCCGCCAACATCCTGGCCGAGCGCGCGGGCGCGGGCCGCTAGAAGAGGCATGGCGACAACAACAGGCTGGCGGGGGCCCGGCCCGCCTGACGGCCCGCCTGGCCACTGGCCACTCGCGGCGCGGGCCGGCCGGCCGCCACAGTGTCACGCCGCCGCCGTCCTCTGTCCGCGGATGGCCCGGGCCCGCCTCGCCCTTATCTCTCGCCCGTATCTCGTGAATGACACACACGGCCGCGACGCGCGTGGGGTCGCTCCTTCTGCCGGCCCACCAATACCTACCGATCCACAGCGGTCGCCGGGCTGCGGCGCGTCCCAGCAGGCGGTTCACGTCCTCGCGCTCCAGGTCGGGCTCGCTGACGGGGTCCCTCCCAGCTTCCGACGGGCCGGCGACGGCCGACCACCTGAACAGAGGAGGAGTAAGTGGCGGTGACCCAGCAAAGTGGGTCCAGTAATAGAAAATAAATTGTTCGCTTGTTGTAAGGGTTGCGGGTCGGCTTCGCATACTTGTCAGAAAGACCACCACAAACAGCGAATACTTGTCGCGATTTGCATCACTCGCTTCTCTTTCAGTCCGCCAAAAAGAGAAAGTATCAACATCACAATTTTTAAAAAATACCCCATATCGTTGAAATATTACTATTTTCTAATGTTTGCGGATAGGGGTTGGGCAGGCGCGGGGAAGTGCGATGACCTACGGCCCCGCCCACTTCGTCGTGCCGCCACTTTCTGATCTGATTACGGCCGACTATCGGGGAGCGGCGGTAAGGGGACAAATCGTGCGACGTACCTTTTGTCACCCGCGCTACGTTATGACCGGTTGAAGTAAATACTTCGTGTCCGACCTCTTAGGCTTTACAAAGCGACCCTAACTAAGCGCCACTGCCCACTTTCCCCATCCTCCCGTCAGTTTCAAACCCAATTTGTTCAAAAGGAGCAATTTTCTTGGCATCGCTCTGACCTTGCATCCGGCGGACCTAAAACCTTCCCTGACATTCTGCCTCAAAGTACAGTAGGTGCCTCTGATGTCGGCCACGGTCGGCCACACAACCGTATCTCGTGCGCAGACTGGCCCTTCAATCCCCGCGGCGGCGGCGTTCAGTGCGTCGGTATGGTCAGTGCGTCAGCGCTGGATCATCTGAACACTGTCTGCTGCGCTGGGGCATCATACGCTTGAGCCATCGTCCCTCTCGTCTCGTCGGCCCTTTCATTGGTACAGTAGAGCTGACACCTGCAGTTGGCCGAGACTGCCGAGTCCCCCTCTCCCCCGCCTCTCGAACCGTCGCACAGAAGGACGTGTTTTATCAGCTGCCTGCATTCGGCGGCATTATTCGGCCAAGGTTCGATGACTTTTTTTGGGGCCGCGGGACTGTGCCGCGGTCGCTAACGTCGCTAACACTTACGGCTGCCACACGATGACGTCTGGCTCGGGCGCCGCGGCGCGGGCCTCATCCTGGAGGAAGTGCACGACGTCACGGTTGGCCCTGGGCGCGCCGAGGGCCGCGGCCACGTCGGGGCCCAGCAGCACGGCGCTCTTGTAGCGAGGGAAGTCGGCCAGCAGGGTGCGGGCCGCGGTCAGGTCGGCGCCGACGTCGGCGCCGCTCCTCAGCCCAGCTCGGGCCAGCGCCGAGGACTCTGCAAGACAACGGGGGAAGGTTGGTCAGCGTCTAGGCCTCGAGGGTTGTCGTCCGAGCTCGAGCGGGCGGGGGCGGGTCCCGGACCTACCGTATCCGAGCTGAAGCGCGAGGTCGAAGCCGTGGCGGTCAGCCTGGCCGAGCATCTCCGCGGCGTTGAGTGGGTCCCAGGCGCCCTTCTTGTCGCGGGCGAGCGCGTCGAGGCCCAGCACCAGGTGCCAGCCGGCATCGCGCGCCCAGCGGCCCACCGCGACCAGGTCGCCCTCTGCGAAAAAAGCCGAGTCAGCCGACTGATTCCGAGGAGCGAAGAGCGCTCTCCTATACCTCCCGTACAGCTCCGCCCTTGTCGCGCACTCATAGGGCAGCGCCCCTTGAGCGCTCTTCGGGATCAGTCTCGCCTCAAGTCTGGCAGAGACAACAAGTACCTCCCCCCCCCCCCCCAGTGGGCGCCAGTCGCCAGTCGCCAGCGGCCGAACCTTACCCGTCGTGGTTCCGTTGTGCGAGGCGCCGTCGTCCTCCCTGGAGAAGCGCAGGCGGTCGCTGGAGGGCCCCGCCAGTCTGAGATAAGCGGGCGACATCCCCCGGGCCATGGCGAAAGCCCGCACGGAGCCCGGCCTGCAACGAGAAGGGACGGGCTCACTGCCGGGGCTCCACGGCGGGCGCACCTTCCGGACCTCACACGGCTGCTGAACTCACCCGAGCTTCCTGTGTGCCGACAGCTCCATGGGGTCCATGGTCAAGCTCAGGAAGCGTTCGCTGACGAGTGCCGACATCTTCTTGGGGTTCACGGCCACGGACAGCAAGGGTGCGGGCGGCGGCGGGGCCGGGGTGGTCTCGCTCGGCGCGGAGGTGGCGGCGGCGGACATGGAGGCCGCCGAGCAGCCCGACAAGAGGTGCAGGAGCAGGGCCAATGCCGCAGTGGGCACGGCCGTTGCTGCCATGGTGGCGGGTAGAGACTCGAGCCGCGGCTGTAAGAATGCATCCCTTATGTTCTTTTTTTTTCGATGTACTGCAGGAATCGTCAGGCCCAGGTGTGCGTTGACCCTGTAGCCCTTCTCCCCCCGTCACACTGTATGGGACGCGACCCCCCCACCCCCCACCCCAATCCGCGTTCAAATATGACCCTTTTAACAAGGTCGATTTCCGTTTGATCATCCGATTGTAATCGGGGCACGTGCCAGCTGACTCACGGGTCGTGGTCTTTAGGGATCCCAAACAATGATTATCTCGTGAAGCTGCGAACGCCTCATATTTGTTTCTCCCTCAGTCGGGCAAAACCACGCGTGACAAACAGACGTTCGTACGCCATTTTCACGGTCCCTTGCCTATGTAGGTACCTTTGAACAGACTTTGAAAAACAAGACCTCAACGATTTAACAATCTAGCTTCGGATTTAATAAGGTATTTAACCACGCTATAGCATAATCTGTTCTAAATGTACAGCCCTTCAAACTTGCACGACGCCCGAATATTTTATAGAAGTAGTTTTTGACACGGTGTTACCACGGACGAAAAAACGTGACGCACGGACACTAAGGAAAATCAACCAACATTACCGTCAAGTAGAAAGCTGTGTCAAGAAAGACGCCGAAAGATATTTGTTTTAACTTCATTTTTTAGTGGTTTTGCCCGGTAATTATCGCGTCGGAGAGAGCACAGTGACGTCATCCGAGACATACGTACAAGTCCTTTCTGAGATAGGACTGTGCATGAGCGCTGCTATGCCACTCATAGAGACGGCGCATCGAGGAGAATGTCGTGTTTAAGAGCGCGGGTGACTGGGCGCTTTCGTTTCTCAGCCTCTTGCACTCACCGGAACGATGGGGCTCGAGCAGGGGCGGGTGCGCTGGGCGGTTGGACTCGGCTCGCTCCCGGAGCCTCGCAGGTTCGACTCGCTGGCAGGCGGACTAGACAATAAGGTTGTGTGCTGGCGTCGCCCCCCGGCGGGTGCCTCGGACTGCTGGAACGCCCTTCTCCACCCCTCCCCTTCCCCCGATGGGCGACGTTTCGCAAGGGGTTTGAGTTCTGTCCCCTGATCTGCACACGTCTCTCCCCGGCCAGGCGGCCGCCCCGTCCCTTGCTGACCAAGTCCATCGCGCTCAGCGACGACTCAGCGTGTTGAGTCAGGCAGCCCGCAGCCCGCAGCGCAGGGGTGTCAGCGGCCGCGGCAGGCCTGGAGTCGCCTCGCGAGCAGCGCCTTCGGATCGGGGGGCTTATCGCGACACACGCTCATGGATGGATGTTCTGTATGTGTCAAACCAAGCGTTACACGCGTTACAATGCGCACGCACCGCACGGAGAAAAATACTTTGGTTGCTGTAACTAAAAGGGTGTTCAATCTGCCCCCTGAGTCATAACCATAGAACGTTCTGTCGGACTGACTGGGGTGTTTGGTTGGAGCGTCTGAACGCTCAGCCAGCACGATAAAACGTTCTATGGTTATGACTCAGGGGGCAGATTGAACACCCTTTTAGTTACAGCAACCAAATTTTTCGGCCTTGGTGACCAAACAATTTTCTCAGTGCGATTATCGTGTCAGTTGCTGGACAATTCTCAAAATAATTACTACCCCGAACCGCCATCCCCATCCCCATCCCCCTCCTCGCCCAGCACCGCCCATGCATATCGGAAATGTGGAGTGTGCAAGTTCACGATTTTCCCTTTTCATGATTAAAATCAGTCGCTTATGTGCATTTGCTGTGGGTTGTGGCTGAGAGGGTGTTGTGTGTGTGTGTTTCTTTGGGCCCCCATCGATGTCAGCACCTCCCATCGTGACCCGCCGCGGCGCCGAGGTCCGCCGTCAGCAGTAGGTTGGACCTACACAGCAAGAATTTGAATGCCAGAGGCACGAGCATATGAAGCGATAGGAGAACCGCGTAGAAGGATGCGAAAAGTGGGTCATCGTGTGTGAGTGAGCAATGATTGTTAGACAGTCCCCCTAAAGACTGTCTCTACCAGAGGGCAAAGTCCCCTCCACCTCCTCACTCTCTATGTAGCACAGAGCGGGCTCTCGTTCTCCTACAGAACAGTCAACTATGATTGAAAGAAAAGTACCAGGTGCCTAACCCCCGTGAGATCCACATGTATGCGTGCGGGTTGCCTAATCGCCCGAGCCACAGGTGCGGTAACTAAAAAGAAATCCACGGGGTTTGTCCGCAGTATCGCCACTGCACATTAAAGTACCGAGTGTAACTGTGAATGTGCAGCAGTGTTGCGGGATTGCATACTGGCCAGGGCTGCAGGGGCCATGGCGCCTTACGGGCGAATCGGGTAGGCAAACCCGCAACACTGCTGCGCATTCACAGTTACACCCGGTACATTAAATGCTGCAGTGCACGTAACAATGCACATAAACAGTAACGCATTTTCAACGCCTTTAATGGGCATTATATGCGCCTCGACATCCCCAAAGGCACCACAAGTGGTGACACATTGGTGACGAATTAATTGCACTAAATGTGCATTAAAGCTGTAATGCTCTTTCAAAGCGTCACCAATGTGTCACCCTGTATGTACATTTCTACCCGTATTTATGAGCATTTAATGCGTTTGGAGCTACTGGGCATGCGCAGTTAATTCGGCAATGCACATTAAATGTATCTGTAATGATGCAGATGCCGGGGATCATGAGCCGCATGTCCCTCGACCACTGTTCTACCGAGAATGAGCTCATGCTAGTATAAACGCGCATACAATGTGACAATGCGAATTAAAAGGGGGTCTGAATGGTCCCACATTTAATACGCATTACAAACATGAAATTTGCATTTTACGCTTCAATGCGCAAAAAAATGTGGGACCTTTCAAGCGGATTGCAATTGGCGCTACGCACGGGGAAAGCCCCCCCCCCCCTCCCCGTCCTATTACTAATATGTACAGAGCGGGAGTTGATTAGTCCATAAGTGCTATCTAGGTGTTGGATGGGTCTTCCTTGTAGCGTCAGTTGCAATCCGCTTAAAAGGTTCTACATTTTCCGCGCTGGCTCCTGTAAAGTAAATTAGACCAGCCCTTTCGGGTCACAATGTGATCGGGTAAGAGCTCTGATAAAGTCTAACCTACAAACACAAAATTCTCATCGGATGGTAAAAACATCACGGTTAAATATTATACTTCTGAGAGCATTCTTACTAAATTGATAAACTTAATTTTGGTCGTAAATCAAACTTCACCGACACAGAGAAATTTTGTCCATTGCGTGACAAATATGGGGATTTTGGTGCTTTGCCCAGCTGTGCTGTGTACCTACATTATTTCGTCTGCATTTGTTTTGTTTTTCGCTTGTTCCTATTGACATAATGTCAAGTTTGTTCGGGCGTTTGTGCCACAAACATATGCATTTGAAATCAGATGTGGAGTTGTTTGAATTTTATTGACAGTCTGCTACAATGTTAAATGTACGTAAATCCTGTCTTGAATTTGTTGACCGAAAGGATTGTGACTCAGTGGGGCGAGATATGGCCTGATCGACGTTATCTTTTTCTCGGCCAGTTGCTTTTCAATCTTTTCGACGATAACAGTTCTAGTAGTTTTAGAAACTCTATTTTCACGACGCTTTTGCTTTTGTATTCAATAGATGGCATCAACAATAGTAGGTCATTGATAGTTTCTGTCTACTAATGATAATTGAATATGAAGGTCGTCCAGTTGTTGAGTTGTCCCTTCTATAACCTCAGTTTCATGTTTTCAGAGACATTAAAGAGGTTACCTTTTGGAATAACGTTAAATGTTGAAACCATTCCATTACTTTTTCTCTTTTACAGTGAAATTAAAAATGAGCAGTGACTCAAACGAAGTGCTGGATGACAGAGTGGAGGTGAAAACAGAAGCAGGCAGCAATGGAAGCAAAGTATGCAGTGTTTGTGGCGATCTAGCCCATGGATATAATTTCAATGCTCTAACCTGTGAATCATGCAAAGCTTTTTTCCGAAGAAATGCTCTTAAAGCTAAGGTTGGTATCTATCGTCATCTAATGTGCTTTTTTTTCACTGGACAAAGTGCATTTTGTTGCATTCAAAAAAATTTAATATTATAAAACTTTTGTTGTTTTTTACGTTTTTTATACAGGAGTTCAAATGTCCCTTCTCCGAAAGCTGTGTTATGACAGCAATCACTCGCCGTTTTTGTCAAAAATGTCGATTACAGAAATGTTTTACTGTTGGTATGAGGAAGGAATATATTATGTCAGAAGAAGAAAGGTTAAATAAAAGACAGAAAGTAGAATTAAACAGAGCCAAAAAGAGAGCTGCTGCAAGTTCAGATGATAATCCTGGAGCAGCAGTATCTAAACGTCGAGTTGCTGGTTCAAAGCAACATCCCGCAGACTCCGATTGGAATGCAGCAAGTTCAGGTACTTTTCAATTCTTTTTAAAAATTTGCTCCTATACTTAAAATTTCCTCCCCAATAATGAAGTTCAAGACATAAAAATGACTGTAATTTCTTCTCAGACTGGTCTCATATATCTGAGAGTCAGACGAGTCCTGGTTCATCTCAAGCACAAGATGGAAGTCCCCCTCAAAGTGATTCATTATCTCAGCGTTTGTTGGAGTCTTTCCCTTCTCCTACTTCTGCATCATCAGCTGGTTCTGTGCCAAGCCCTAATTCTCCACCAGATAGTGCTACAGTTGCTGCATCACAAAATACTGAGATGGTTGCTCTGAGAGATACTGGAGTTGTTAAAAAGCAGAGTATGATAAGTGTTATCACATATCCACATCAGTTAAGGTGGGTGGGAAAAAAATCATGGTCTGTAGCTGTGTTCTTACCATAAATGTATATTTTCTCCTCTTTTATAGTAAAAATCCTGAAAGCAATGAAGAAGAACCGGAAGAACGTGGAGCCTTATCAGATTCCAAAGTTTCAATTTCTACTTCTACACAAACTGAACTGCTGTCTAATAGTGGGCTTAAAACTGTATCTACTCAAACTTTGGATTTGGTGCAGCCAGTCTCGCAGTCAACACCTCTACTCTCCTCATTAATCTGCAGCAAGCGTTCAGATGAAGAAACTGGCACTCGCCGAGAGGCCTCCACTTCACCCCCTCCTCAACAAGATAGTCTGTATGTGGTAGAGGGTAAAGGTGATTGGACTGGTGTTGATGGTGTAAATGCCACCTCTGGCTCATGGGATTCCTGTACGACAGCGCCTTATGTTCTAAAGAGAAGTGTTGATGAGGATATTCTTCACGACGTGTTCAGGTATAAATTGACTCTTTTACACTTTATTTTCTCTAAATTTGAAAATACAATGTTCATCATATTTGTATCTTCTTTAGGATGAGCAATGCCCCAAATTCGTTTGAATCAATTTTGAGTGATGCTATCAAATTGGAATTTTCCACTTACACCCCAAGAACACTATCAGTTCCTTATGGGCATCCAGAAGGCCATCTTCATAACAAGGAATTGAATGATGCGGAAAGAGCTAAACTTAATGAACTTATAGTGGCTAATAAGGCTTTACTAGCTCCCATGGAAGAGGTATAGTAAATAAGTTTTTCTGTCTCTGCCTGTCTGATTTTACATGATAATTCAGGGTAATTATGTTTGCAGACAAATCCAGATCATTGCCTGTTGGACATTATAAACTTGACTGCTGTTGCCATACGAAGATTAGTTAAAATGGCAAAAAAAATTAATGCATTCAAAAACATGTGTCAAGAAGATCAAGTAGCCCTTTTAAAAGGCGCTTGTATGGAAATGCTGATTTTACATAGTGTTACAACGTATAATCCTGAGAAAGATTCATGGGCTGTGAGTAGTACCTCACCTGAAGAAGTCATCCTCAATTGAAATTTTTAAAATGAGTGAATTTTATCTATTGCAACTTTTTGTCTTCTTCCAGCTCCCACATAGTAATGCAATCAAAGTAGATGTCCTGAAAGAATGTAAAGGGAATTTATACCAAGAGCACAAAAGGTTTCAACAATCATTTGATTCTAGATGGAGGACGGATGAAAATATTATGCTTATCTTGTCAGCAATTACACTATTCACCCCTGCCAGAGCAAATGTTGTACATGAAGATGTAATTAAACTTGAGCAGGTACGGTATTGTCCCACTTGCTCCATTTACTACACTAAAGAAGTTACTGTTTCTAGTCATGGTTGAGAGTATATTTTAATTCTGGTTTTGTTTCTATCCTTATAGAATTCATACTACTACCTTTTGCGGCGATATTTGGAGTGCATTCTTCCGGGTTGCGAAGCAAGATCTACTTTCCTCAAATTAATTCAAAAAATTTCTGAGCTACACAGACTAAATGAGGAACATGTGCGTGCTTACTTGGATGTTGATCCAAGTGAAGTTGAACCCTTATTAATTGAAATATTTGATCTCAAGTCTCATGCACCAAGGTAGAGCAAGAATTTATGTGTGCAACTGTTAACTCTAAAATATTTTGCAACAATGATAGATTTTTTGGGGATGCATGGTGTTTGAATGTATTCATTATCATAATGCTGTAACCTCAGGATCTTTGGCATTAGCAAACTTTTTCCAATAGATCTTACTTCATTGGAAACATTTATTCACTTTTTGAAAGTTGAATAGTTTTACTCAATTTGAATGTGTTGTTTATGTGCTAATTCTGTATGCTGTGCCATCAATGAGTTTTTGTGTATCATACACATGTATGAAATCTGTTTCTTTGTAATTTACTTGACTGTCAATAATGTTAATTAATGTGTTATAATCTAATGTACCTCCAAGGTAAAATATGAGATACTATTGGGGGTTCCATTTGCTCAACTGAAGTCCTCTTATTTAATGTACCTTTCAAACTGACTGAAATTGGATTGGAAAAATTCTACATGACGTGGAATGAATTGACGCTTATGGTTCTGATGCCTAACTTTTCCATTTATTAGCACAGCTTACCATTGATGGTCATTATGTATTCTGTTATGCTATGTATATTCTCTAATCTAGAGAAGCTTGTTCATATGTAAAAATCATTTAATCCGCTAATTGTTTATACACATCGCTTTGTTGTATATATATAGTTGTAGTGGCTTGTTATATGAAATTCGTACAAATCTTATTGTTATGAGATAGATTTAGTTGTTGTGTTTGTGACGTTCTTATAAATGTTTATGCTACCTCATGTTTTATGTCATATGTTTTAGTCTAAAAGTTCAGGGTATTGCTTAGGGTACTCTATTCAATTACTATCTTACTCAAAACCATGTGACTACTGCTACTGCATGTAATTTTGTGGTGTTGTACTCTCAGAAATGAGGTGCTATGCATGTTTAGTAATTATTAAACTAGAGATGTATTAAGTTCAAATACACTACTTTATTTTTTGTGTCGGCTCTGGTTCGGCAATATAATTCATTGCATTGATAAAGGCAGAATTTTATCTTTATTGAACTTGTTTTGGGTTGGGTCCAAGCAGGTACTCTGTGATGCTCGATGTCAAATTATATTTTTGAACAAATATCTTCTTGAAGTGCACCTGTTGGTAAACAGTCATGCATAACATTAAGAAAATTATGGGAAAATGAAATTTTTTGAACCCAGCTAATACAAGTGAACTTTCTTTTGTCATGCTTGAAGACACTGAGAATTGCATTTGCAGTATGTGGTAGCCTTGACCGAGAAATACTTCCGTGTTTAGAGGGACCATGAAAATTGATATTATTTAAGTTTGTAATTCACTTCAGCTCCATAACTGAGAGTTTTTTTTTTTCCCACCATCATCAGCAGTCTCATCAAAGTTGAATCTCATTTAGCAGCATTTCTTTTAACATATTAGATTTTCATACTCTAAGCTTTTGAAGATGTCATCATGTGTGTAGTTCCCCTTTCAGAGAAATAAATTGCTTTTTAAATGTATTACCAATTTGCTTAGGTATTTCTGCACATCCCCATACCATTGTTTACAACCAAGTCATTTGACAACGGAATCATAAGAACTAAGGAAGACAAGATGTAACTAACAACAAAATTTTCAGTTTAGGAGTGGTGTATTTAATTAGAAAACTGAATGTTAGTTCAGCTTCCATAACTGACTGAATGGAGCACAACACAGAAAATAAATAATCATATCACATAACAACTTATCTAACAAAAACAGGACACAATAACAAATATCCCTTTCAGTACATTTCTCCTTTTCTTCTGACAACATGTGTAGGGATAAAATAAATTAAGAATCTACTTCAACATGACTGCTTAACAAACACTGTCTCCAGCGCTCATATCCTAGTAACACATGGTAGTATTCATTTAAAGAAAGATAGATACATAGATTTATATGATACAATTAATTGTGCACAAATATTAAACAGACTAATAAAAATATCACACCAGAGCTGTAAGCAGCAATTCAGAAATTTAGAACAAAGGTGAATTCAGACACTGGTTGGTTACTTTCTAATTCACAACTGCAAACAAAATAGTGGCATTTATTCGGTGAAAACAAGCAAATTAACCATTAGATACTCGAAATCCCAGCTCCTTACAATTTACAGAAGTAATGTGTCAATTTTAAATGAACTACAACTAAGCAAACACACAAGTTGGCAAGATTATAAAGCCGGAATTTCAATGAGGAAGAACACATTATTGGAAGAAATTAAAGCTGCTTACAAATACCACATGATTTGTAGTCTCACAGTCTTTCACAGATGATGCTAATACTGTACAACATACAACAGTGCTAAAAAGAGAACAAAGAAAACAACTACATGATAAAATTAGAAAAACAAAAGCAAAACATAAACAACAAAGAATGCTATGATACCTACCTACCTATATGTACAACAGACAAGCAATTTTGATAATAAAAATAGAATTCTTTGAATCACAAAGAAGTTTTTGCCATCTGCAGGAAGAGCAATAACAGAATTCGGGAGAAATAAATGATTTAACTTCAGTTTAACTACTCACGAAAAACAATCTGCTTGTCTAATAAAACAGTACTAGTGCACCATTTCACGTCAGGGAATTAAGAAAACCAAGACAAAGCACATTTTTTATAAAAAATTATAAAAGGAGCAGTTAAGTTACTTTGAAATCACATTCCAGTATTTACAAAGACTTAAAATTGTCAATTCCTACTGGAATACTTGATACCTAAAAGCAGCATCATAAAAAAGTAGTTTCACATTGAACCATAACAGTTGATTGAAAAGTAGCAAACAAAGAATGTTCATTCGATTGGCAAGGATTGATTGGTGAATAAATTAAGAGGCTAACTAGATAAATAAATTTAAAATTGGATAACTTGGGATATTTAAAACAGTTAGACAGTATTTGTAGGAAATATACCTCTGATACATAGGTAAACTTACAGTACATTACTAACAATAATCATGGATCTTCATAAAGTTTTCTAAAGTGCTTGGAACCTGACCACGATATGGAATTCTGTACCTGCATACTACAACAGCAGCTAAACACCTGAGCGTAGTATAATTCACTAAGTTTATTGTGTTATTTTTATTGTTTGGTATAGTTACAGAGGGCCTTTCCCCTGATTTATTTGATTGATCTAGATGAGCACCATGATCCAGTAGCAGCTTGACCAGCTAAACAAAAGAGTGTAAAAACATTAGTTAGGAAATTTTATTTAAATGCAACTTTAGGTCCATGAAATAATCTACAATACAGAAAGATGCACTTACTTTATTATCAAAATTGTACGGATTGGAGGCAACATGAAGGGGTGTTGACCTAGATTTATTAGTTGCTCGGACTGGAGCACCACACTGAAGGAGTACTTTGGTCACTTCCAAATCAGGAAATACAACCTGATTTTTAAAAAATACCATAATATTAAGAAGAGGAGGGAAAGAATGTAGAAAAGAATGTAATAATGTACTAAGTAAATGAGCCCTCACACCATACCTGAGTCACTTGATTGTCTTCTGCAAAGTAGCTGCTTTTGATGGTATTCAGTTTTGACACACAAAGATGGAGCAGAGAGTCTCCTGTAGTCGCAGAGCAGGGATTGTACCTTATGAGATCCGTAACTAGACTGTAAACCTTGTGCTGGTCTTGTTCTGACTTAGCAGTTTTAACCAATAAATAAACAAGGTGAGTAATGCACCTCAAAATACGATCATAACTTTCTTGTTGACGTTTGTTGATTGGGTGAATCTGACAAAGGAGAAAGGTACTTCGTTAGGTTATAGATGAACACAATAATACAGTTTGTTTTCCTGTGAGCAAAATTACTGTCTATATTTTACCTCTAATAACGGCCTAGATTCAATTAAAGGAGTGGCTAACATCAAAAAGACAGATGCCACATCCTCAAATCGAGGCATTTTTCCTTCACCTTCGCCATCATGCATCAGTAGAAGCTTTTCATTTAGATCAACAAAGAGACGAACTAAGGCTTGAGCAGTAAAGCATGTATCACCAGTCAGTATTGAATCCTTCACGATGCGGACTTCAAGAGCCCGTCGCCACAGATCAATACAGCGCTGGTATCGAAGAGCATCAGCATAAGCTGCACCACGATACATTAAACGAAATAATGTGTCTTTGTGCTGCTCTCCTAGTACTCGTTCACAAATCAATAGACTTTGCATGCGCATAGCATCCACATCTGAAACATAACCAGCAAGACAATAACAGAGCAACTCTATTTATGATTGGAAAAAGAAAAAAGGTATCTCTTAATACTTTACCAACCTAGCGAGTTTAAATCTTCAGCACTTTCAAATTCTTTTGAAAAGTTGAAAGTTTCCTTTGGAGACATAATTGGTCTTTTAGGGATGGGCATGCCATCTTTACCATTTAATTGTCTAATTTGTAATGCAGTTCTCCAATGTTGTAAAGCATTTTGGGTATCATTATGTTCATCAAGAAGAGTTGATCCAAGTAGTTCATAAGCATCAGCAAGTTTCTCTGGTTCATAACAAACTCTGTCTCGTAGTAGATCAAATATAGCTTGGGCTCCCTTAATACAAGCAGTGCGCAGAGCATCATCACTGAGCCGAGAACAAGCATGCGGATCTGCCCCATGGTCCAAAAGGAGTGCAGTAGTTTCACAGCGATGTTCTTGAATAGCATAATGTAATGCTGTTTTGTTTTGAATATCTCTGACATTTACAGCAGCACCATGCTATAACAAAAGAAAACAACAGATGTATTTTTTTATTATACTAGGATTTAAATTGTAATATGTTGATAGTGTTGACTTTTAAATAAAATACCTGAAGAAGGTACTGGCAAAGAGGAGCACTTTGCACAGAATTGATGAGACAAGTACCTCCATTGTAATTAGGTCTTAATATGTCTGCTCCATGCTCCACAAGGTACTTGACAATATCCATATGGGTCATAAAGCATGCCGATCGGACAGGTGTAGACCCACTATCAGATGCAGCATTAACATTTGCACCATTTTCGACCAAGCACTTAATAACATTTAATTTCCCAGACACAGCAGCACACCATAAGGGAGTGACGAAATGAACAGATCTGTCAGCAGGAACCTCATAAAGACCTCGTTGTTCAACATCAGCACCCAAAAATTTAATGAGATAGTCAACCATTTCAGCATTTCCTCTCATACACGCAATGAAGAGAGGTGCACATCCATCTCTGACTCGGCTGACTAATTCTTTGCGGCATTCTACTGACAGTCGCTCAAGGCTTGTGCGAAGCTTGTTGCTTAACCTAGCCCCAGGATAATTTTGTCTACATTCATCGATGAGATCGTTAAATATTGTTTCTTTGAGAGAGACGTTGACATCATATTTTGGCCACATGTCAAAGAAGGGACTTAGCCCACGACTCAACACTTCGAGGCTGAAGCTTGCCACTCGTGACTTCTTTACAGCTGGCGCACCTTCGACTGCATTGTCCACCGTCGACGGTACCGGTTCAAGCAATTCCTCAAACCACGAACCTGAAACAGCAGAAATCATGCGTGAGCAAGCTATTAAATGTCTTAAATATCAGTCAGGCCAGAACCGACATCATTAAAGCATTCATTCATCAATGTAGACAGGTGTATTGTCGCACCAAAGCAAAAAAGGGAATGGTTGCTTCAAAGGCTGCTGCACATGGAAACACGAACGAACTGAGTGCGAAATAAACACAACGGTTATTTCAAATCGTTACTGTGTTTCAGTTTAAAATTGCGATGTTTGCTTAGTCGCAGTCGCACTCGCAGAAGACAGGATGCGTTCCTGAATACAGCCCGCAGCAGCCGCAGCAGTCTGACAGCCAGTTTCTTGGGTATGTTCGTCCGTCCTGGTCTGTCCTGGTCAGGTTAATAAATCGGAGGTTTTGACGACTTTGAAAAGGTTAAAAGGGTTGGAGAACGTGGACATATAAATACCAGGGAAGATAATTCAGTCAAACTTCATTTCTAGGCGTTCACTACATCTAGACGGAAATGAAGCATGAACAATAAGGCAGTGGCCTGACCCTGTTGAGCCCCACTACCGAACCAGGAAGTGTAGGGAGCGGGGAAGGACTGGAGAACAGGAAAGACAAATCGACCATTCGCGGGTCCTGATCATATTCATCGTGCAAAAACAAAATCCAAAAAATACAAATTCCTTGAGGTGTTTCCACAAATGAACGTTGTTTCACGAGGCGCCACTGAAAGCGCCAGCCTGCGACGCTAAAGCAGCTGTACGAGGACGGTCTACCCAGAGGCGAGGAGGGTTTGGGGTTTGACGCAGTTGGCCAAGATTTGAATACGCGAACGAAAATAGGAGAAAGGGAGATGAGAAGGGGGTAACACAAATGCAACCGCACTTCCGCTTGCAGCAGCGTCTATATGGCATGCTACTACTGATACACCCAGAAAACCCTAAACTTGATCCAAGTGCATTTTACTTGATACAAGCGCCAAATGCACTTGAATTGATCGAGCCCGGTTGGAACTTGAAGTAAGCATTCTAGATTGAAATAATCTTGTAAGGCGAAGTTAATAAGAACGCCAACCCTCGGGGCAACACCGCATGGTGCTTGATATTTCAGAAATGATTTTAAGAACATAG